TTCATTTACGTCAAAATATGCTCCAGTGCAAAAAGCTTGCTTGAAAAGCCAGGTCTTAACAATTTTGTGGAATGTTAGAAGGGAGGGAGCCAATCTTATACCCCTGGAGAGGGCATTCCATAGCCGAGGGGCCACCACTGAGAAGGCCCTGTCTCTTGTCCCTGCCAAACGCATCTGTGAGGTAGGTGGTATAAAGAGCAAGGCCTCCCCAGACTACCAACCTCAGAATTTTGCAGGAGTCAGAAACCAGATTTAAAGTAGATTCATTCTCTAGTGTGATGAGGTAGGGATAAAATCAGAAGCATTCGTTTCTTACAATTACAGCTCTAGACTCAAGATGTAGATTGTGTATTAGGTGGATTGACTTACATGCAGGGAGAGGGGAATGAGATTCTGCTAAGGCTAAGCTCTGTGTTAGGATTGTGACCACAAAGGATCTGGTGTAGTGGAACTCCCCCTTGTTTTGGTTTATATCTTTGCATTCACTGAATATGCATTTTTATATTTCTCCCTTTCCTTGACCTACATACAATACTCCCATTTGTTATTTTCTCATGCCTTCATGGCAGGCATGTTGTCATTTGGTGGTTTGTTGTTATTCATTGCCTTGCTTTGTGATAACAGGCAGGCAAGGACACAGAATCCATACCTTGTTTGTCAGCCCCTTCTACCTTGCACAGTCAGTATTTCAGCCCTCTCTGCTTTCACCATGTACTGGGCAACACTGTCCTGCCTTGGGACTCCTGCTCCTCTCCCTTCTTCTTTCTCTCCCTCCTTTGTCTCATCTCACTCAGCTGCTTTCCTACTGCAGTAGGGATGGCTTGACAAGAGGACAGCAAGCAAGGAGTAGAAATGAGGAAGCAGTGACTTGGAAATAGGAGAGAAATGTGATGACTCGGAAGAGAGATCCTGGATCAGCCCTTCTCTTCCACTTTTCTGATACTCTTCCGCTCCTAATAATGGCAGCTCTGCATACAACATGAGAAGCGGCTTTGTTGCAAGTGGCACTGCTTGGAATAGAGCAGGGAGGGAAGGATGGTGATAGTGGGAGACAGAAAGTTGCAAAGAAGGGAGGTAACAATCTATGAAGGAGGGGGAGAGAAAAGGGTGATGGGATGCTGGGCATGTGCGACAAAGAAGGCCTGGCAGAAGAGGACAGTGTCATGGACTTGTTCTGCTTAATGGGAAGGCTGGTTCTGGCCTTTAGTTTTTTTAATGGTTTAGTTTCACACCATCTTTCTCTCACTTTGGGGCCCAAGGAAAACAAAATGCTGCTAACAGAAATCCACCAGTCCTACTATAAAACAGATGTCAGATGTAAGTTTTTCGGGCTGTATGGCCATGTTCCAGAAGCATTCTCTCCTGATGTTTTGCCCACATCTATGGCAGGCATCCTCTAAGGTTGAGGGGTCTGTTGGAAGCAAAGTAAGTGAGGTTTGTCTATCTATCTGTGGGATGTCCAGGGTGGGGAAAAGAACACTTGTCTGCTTGAGGCACAGAAGTCATTGTTAAGCAGGTAGATATAGCAGGGTTCGGTTCCCAGTTAGGTGATCCCTCGTTGACCGAGTAGGATAGTCTTTCAAGGTCAGTGTACTGGTGGGTCCTTAGGTGACTGTGAAGCCCTATTCTTGATCTGTATCTTCTCCCGCAGTGAGAGTATTGGTTTCCTCTTGGCACGTTTGTCTCTTTCACCCTCCATTTGTGCCTCTTCAAATTCTACAGCACTGCTGGTCACAGCTGACCTCCAGCTAGAGCACTCAAGGGCCAGAGTGTCTATGCCAGAGTTTTTAAGGTTGGCTTTGAGCCCACTTTTAAATCTCTTTTCCTGCCCTCCAACATTCCATTTTCCATTCTTGGGTTTGGAATAGAGCAACTGCATTGGGAGATGGTGGGGCATCCGGACAAGGTGGCCTGTCCAGCGGAGTTGATGGCGGACAACCATCGCTTCAGTGGTGGTGCTCTTTGCTTCTTCCAACACTCTGACATTTGTCCTCTTGTCTTCCCAAGAGATTTGCAGGATTTTCCGGAGGCAACTCTGATGGAATCATTCCAGGAGTTGCATGTGACATCTGTAGACAGTCCACGTCTCGCAGGCCTTTAGCATGGTTGGGAGGACAATAGCTTTATAAACAATCACCCTAGGGATGTCCCATGTCCCAGTCCTTAAACACTCTCTGCTTCATTCAGAAAAAAGCTGCACTCGCAGAGCTCAGGCGATGTTGTATTTCAGTGTCAATGTTGACTTTTGTTGAGAGATGGCTGCCAAGGTAGCAGAAATGATCAACATTTTCTAATGTTACACCACTAAGCTGCATTTCTGGCATTGGAGAGGGATTGGCTGGTGACTGCTGGAAGAGCACTTTGGTTTTCTCAATGTTCAATGACAGGCCAAGCTTCTCATATGCTTCTGTGAAGGTATTTAGAGTGGCTTGAAGGTCTTCTTCTGAATGCGCAGGGATGATGTTGTCATCAGCATCAGCAGGAGAGTGGAAGAGGAGAAGCAAGGATGGTCCAAGGTCCTTGTAGTGGGAGTGCTTCTCTTTAAAGATCAGAATTATAGCGTTGGAAGAGACCACAAGGGCCACTTAGTCCGACCCCCGCCATGCAAGAAAACACTGTTGTGTTGTAGTGATTCTTGTTTGTGCTTCTCGCTCATGGACCACTGAGAACTGTCTTGGCTTTAAGTTCAGCACTTCATCCTGCAGGCTCAGTGATCAAACACGTTTCCTATGCTTCCGGAACATAGCCATACAGCTCGGAAAACTCACAGCAACCCACTGATTTCAGCCATGAAAGCCTTCGACAACACACTTTTCCCTTGCTCGAGGGCTTCCAGTGTTCCCTTTGGCTTGAAATCTGGAAAAGGGCTGGGGTGATGAGCCGGGGTGGCATTGCATTTCAGTACTTTATTGAATGTATACTCCTCCTTTCCTCCTGGGATGGGATTTGATCCTCGCTGTCACCCAATATTCGCTGGACAGGCTGATTCGGTGAGAATGTCCCAAATCCCACAGCAGGAATTAGGGTCCAAATCATGACCAAAGGCTCTTCGGGAGGGCTCGGATGTACTCTGGGAAAGGGGAGAGAATAGGGGCTGTTGGGAGTCAGAAATGTAGGATCTGTGTTGTTGTGAGTTTTCCGGGCTGTATGGCCATGTTCCAGAAGCATTATCTCTTGACGTTTCGCCTGCATCTATGGCAGGCATCCTCAGAGGTTGTGAGGTCTGTTGGAAACTAGGAAAATGGGGTTTATGTAGGATCTTTTCTCCAGCGATGTTGTGAAGTCCCTGTTAAAGTCCGGTTCCCTCCTCCTCCCCCTTCCTCGTTGGAAGCCAAGAAATACCTAAGTACTAGGGACCCCATGTCCCTCGGATGCCCCCCACCCCCCAAAAAATCCCTCGAACTGCAGGAAGAGAACCCAACTTGGAGCAACACATGACTTCCGAAAGACGCCAAAGTCCTGAATTGGCTTTGCTCCGAGTCTGCTTCTTCCCCTTCGTGAGCTGAGCAATTCTGGGGCTGGCCAGGGCTCGCTTTCTGTGTCGCTTCTGCTTTTGATTCCCTGCAGATCTCCTTGCAGCCGGACGCTTCTTCCAATGGGCAAAGCAAGCGCAGCGGGGAGGGCGAAGGGGAAGCTCTTCCAAGCCGCGTTGACTGCCGGAGGTCTGCTTTCATTCCAAGTCACCCGCTTGGATTTGTGGCGAATCGCTCTCGGTCAGGGAGCCTCGGGAGTTTTTTCCCCCCAGTTCCTTCCTCCGAAACCCTGAGCTGGTCTGCAAGCACCCAGCTCTAGATTGGGCCTTCGGGGGTCGCGATGGTGGCGCCCTAGGGCCTCATCCCACTAGAGAAGGGATCCACTTTAAATCCAGTTGCTGCCTCCTGCAGAATTCCGAGGAGAAACCTTTAACAGTTTCAGGTAATGGTAAAGGCTTTCCCCTGACACTAAGTCCAGTCGTGTCAGACTCTGGGGGTTGGTGCTCATCTCCATTTCTAAGCCGAAGAGTCGGCGTTGTCTGTAGACACTGCCAAGGTCACGAGGCCGGCATGACTACATGGAGCGTCGTTATCTTCCCGTAGGAGCGGTACCTATTGATCTACTCACATCTGCATGTTTTCAAATTGCTAGCTTGGCAGAAGCTGGGGCAAACAGTGGGAGCTCACCCAGCTCCCCGGACTCGAACCTGCGACCTTTCGATCAGCAAATTTAGCAGCTCAGCGGTTTAACCCATTGTGCCACTGGGGCGGCGGGGGGGGGGGGCGGGGCGGCGTGGTGGTGTCCAAATTCAACTAAACTACAAAACCCAGAGTTCTGCAGGAGGCAGAAACCGGATTTAAAGTGGATCCATTCTCTAGTAGAAACATAAAAGTTGGAATAGACCCCAGGAGACACACAACTAAAACACTCCGGATAGATGCCCATCCACCCTCTGCTTAAAAACCTCCAGAGACGGAGACTCCACCACACTCCGGGGAGGCAGCATATTCTTCTCTGAGTAGTTCTTACCCTCAAGAAGTTGCCTAGCTTTTGAATCCAGAGCAGCAGAAACCAAGCTTGCCCCCTCCTCCATGTGGCATATGGCTCTCCTATCCCTTTTTCTCAGCCTTCTTTTCTCGAAGCTGAACCTACAGAGCTCACTGAGACACTTGTCTGAATCCATTGCTCCGTGTCCTAGTCTCCAGAGCGGCAGAAAGCAAGCTTGCCCCGTCCTCTATGTGTCATATGTAAACATGGCTCTCCTGTCGCTTTCTCTCAGCCTTCTGTTCTCGAAGCTGAACTCACACTGAGGCGCTTCTCATAGGGCTTGCCTTCCAGACCCGGGAAACTTCCGGTCTCCCGCTGAAGCTCTCCCTCGCGGACGACTAAGAGTCCTCATCCCTTTCTCCCAAAGCGCTTCCCCGCGTTTCCTTTCGCCGAGCGGCGGCTCCACCTGCAGAGACTCAGGCGTGCCAAAGCCACGCGCGTCTGCGCCCCCCCCCCCTCCTCTTGCTGCTGCCGGAGGAGGAGGAGGAGGCAGCAGAGGGAGAGATTGAGAGGGAGAGGAGGAAGGAAGGCAGGAAGGAGGCGCGCTCAGTGGGAAGAGGCGAGGCGGGAGAGACCCAGCCTCTCCTTGGCGTTGGATCCAGCTCGAAGCCCGCAGCCATGGAGCACGACGCCTCCGGACTACGTCGCCAGCGTGGGGAGCCGCGGCCCCTCTTCTTCGCGGTCCTCCTCCCGCTAAGAGGCTGATCCTCGCTATCTCAAACCTCCCCCCCCCCCAATCCGTCTTTCCTCTTCCGTTTTCGGATGGACGCCGCGAAGTAAAGCCGCCGCTTCTCTCTCCCTGTTTGTTTCTCTGTCTCTTGGAGTCCCTGGGCAGCCCCCCATTCACCCACCCATTCCCCCCCCCCCCCCCACACACACTCCTCCCAGACCCGCTTTGGAGCCATGGACGCCGCGCTGGGAGGCGAGAAGGTGGCGCCTCCTGCCCCGGCTTCGCTCCCTTGACTCGGCTTGGGAATAATTCAGGAAATAAGTTTCCAGAGGCGGTTCGGACGGAGTTGAGAAGCCCGGCGTTGCAGCGCCCGCCAGCAAGTAAGTGAGGGAGGGAGATCGGCCTCTCATGACGAGGATGCCGATTGATTGATTGATTGATTGATTCCTTTAATGACGAGACTTTGCTGGGGTACAGGGCGCGCAATGAATCTATGTCATGGGTGTCGTTTGGAGCCCCCTTTGGCACTGTGGGTTAAACAGTGTGCCCGCGGGACTGAAGACCGAGAGTGTGGATGAGCTCCCCCTGTCAGCTCCAGTTCCCCATGCGTAGACATAAGAGAAGCCTCCCACAAGGATGGTAAAACATCAAAACATGCGGGCGTGGTGTAGACGGCCAATTCTCTCACAGCAGAAGCGACTTGCAGTTTTCTGAAGTCGCTCATCACACACTCACACAATTGTTGGCATGCACTGTCTATTCAGCTCTGTTTCATACTCTTTTTTCAGCACCCAGGAGCCTTTTTAAGCCTTGGCTTTGGAAATAGCTTGAGGTCCCTGAAACCCTGTGTTTCCCTGGAGCTTTTGACAAGAGAGGCGAACTCATCTGCCAAACATTCCCCACCTCCCATTGAGTCACCCGCCCTTGGATTTCTTTGCCTCAGTTATGTACTGCCCAGGGGGTTGGGATCCCCACATTGTGGCTCTTTCTTCTTGCCTTTGATGTTGCTAATGTGCTCTGTATGACTTTGTCCCTTGGCATTTAGGACCCTTGGCAGGATTGTGGTGGGGGTGGTCCCAAATTCCCACTAAGCACAGTGTGTTCAAAACACAGAGAAAGGGCAACACTAAAAAAGCAGGGGAATTCCAGACAAGAATCAATCAGGGCAGCTAACACCTCCCCCACCCCCCAAAAAAGAATTCCCCCAGGCAGAAACCAGCCAGGCTTTGAAGCTACAGGGCAATTCAATGCTAATCAAGGTTGAACGTTGTGAATTTTCTGGGCTGTATGCCCATGCAGGACCTCACAACCTCTGAAGATACCTGCCGTAGATGAAGGCGAAACATCAGGAGAGAATGCTTCTGGAACATGGCCCAGCAGCCTGGAAAAGTCACAACAATGCAGCGATTCTGTCCATGAAAGCCTTTGAGAATACATTTGACAGGCCTCACAACCTCTGTGGATGTTTCCTTAGATCAGGGGTCCTCAGACTTTTTAAACAGAGGGCCAGGACACAGTCCCTCAAACTTTTGGAGGGCCAGATTATAATTTGAAAAAAAGATGAATGAATTCCTATGCACACTGCACATATCTTGTATGTAGTGCAAAAAACACTTAAAAGCAATGCAATAATAAACATAAATAACAATTTTAACAAATATAAACTTATTAGTATTTCAATGGGAAGTGTGGGCCTGCTTTTGGCTGATGAGATAGGATTGTTGTTGTTGTTGTTGTGGTGGTGGTGGTGGTGTGCTTTCAAGTTGGTTCAAAATTAGGTTGACCCTGAGCAAGGGCTGGCTAAATGACCTTGGAGAGCCGTATCTGGCCCCCGGGCCTTAGTTTGGGGACCCCTGCTGTAGATGTAGGTGAAACGTCAGGAGAGAGTGCTTCTGGAACTTGGCCCCACAGCTTGGAAAAGTCACAACAACCCAGTGATTCTGGCCATGAAAGCCTTCAGCAATAAATTGAACAGACCTCACTACCTCTGAGGATGCCTGCCATAGGTGCAGGTGAAACATCAGGAGAGAATGCTTCTGGAACATGGCCCTACAGCCTGGAAAAGTCACAACAACCCAGTCATGAAAGCCTTCAACACTACACTAATCAAGGTGGCCAATTGCAACATTCACACTTATCTCAAGCAGATAAGAGTTCTTTCTCCCACCCTGGACATTATTCCACAGATATATTAACCCCACTTGCCTAGTTTCAAAGAGACCTCACAACCTCTGACAATGTCTGCCATAGATGTAAGCAAAACATCAGGAGGGAATGCTTCTGGAATATGGCCATACAGCCCGGAAAACTCACAGCAACACAGAGAAAGTCACTGATTCTCATTTTCCGTGTTGTGCACATGCATGGGCTTAAAAAAAACATCCGTAGGAAGAAGAGGCAGGCCTGAGGAGTTGTGGTTCTTTTACCCCGAGACCTATCAGTGTGACAAATCTGTCACACTGGACACACTGAGATTTGCAGAGCCCTCTTTCAGTAAATGAGCTCGCTTGCCTAACTCTCTTTCACATGGCCTTGGGAATGAAGCCACAAAGGAAGAAGGTATATTCTGTGAATTTGCGCAAACTTCCCCCTTCCCTAGTTCCCCTCCATATTTTTCTCCCAAACTGAAAACTGCCTTTTTACATTAGGCTTCCTTCTGATATTTATTCTGCAAAGCTTTCTTTTTAAAGCAGCTTTTTAAACAGATTTGCAGCCAATCATAGGCATTTATCTGTCATCTCAATGTATTCCACTTAGCACATTTAAAAAAGAGCATTTGCAGCTGTAGCTTGATGCTGTAGAGATGAATTTCATTGCATAAAATAATTTGTAGGATTGGGCTGCATAAATTTATAACTATATAAGCATGTGTGTATGGAGTAAACTTAAGTGAGCCTAAAATACGTTAAGCTCCTTACTACAAGAATCAATATGCTTCGTTCCTTACTTTACTTGGTAAAGGGCAATTAAATATTGCTATTGCTAGGGGACTATAATATTAGGGCCTATATAAGCAGGTATGGGCAAACCCAGGCCCGGATGCAGCCCTTTGACCTCTTTTCTCAGGCCCTCCTGTATCTTACCATCCTATCCTTCCCTTCCCTTCCCTTCCCTTCCCTTCCCTTCCCTTCCCTTCCCTTCCCTTCCCTTCCCTTCCCTTCCCTTCCCCCTTCCCTTCCCTTCCTTCCTTCCTTCTCTTTCCTTCCCTTCCCTCCCTTCCCTTCCCTTCCCTCCCTTCCCTTCCCTTCCCTCCCTTCCTTCCTTCTCTTTCCTTCCTCTTCTCTTCCCTCCCCCTTTCTTTCCTCTTTCCTCCTTCCCTTCCTTCTCCTCTTCCTTCCTTTCTTCTCCTTTTCCTTCCTTCCCTCCTCCTCCCTTTTTCTCCCTCCCCTCCTTTCCTTCCTTCCCTCCCTTTTTCTCCCTCCCTTCTTCCTTCCCTTCCATCCTCTCTCCCTTGCTCTCTCCTTCCCTTCCATCCCTCCCTTCATTCCTTTCCACCCTTTCATCCTTCCTTCCCTCCTGCTTTCTCCTTCCATCCTTCCCTTCCACCCTTTCGTCCTTCTTTCCTTCCCCCTTTCCTCCCTCTCTCCCTCTTTCCTCTTCCTTCCTTCCTTCCTTCCTTCCCTTTTGTCTTTCTCTTTTTCCTTCTTCTTCCTTCTTTCCTTCCCTTCATCATTCCTTCCTTCCTTCCTTCCTTCCTTCCTTCCTTCCTTCCTTCCTTCCTTCCTTCCTTCCTTCTCCTCCCTCCCTCCTTTTTCCAAACAGTTTCCAAACAGATCTTATACCTCCTTCCCTCTCTTCCTCTTTCTCCTTCATTCTTCCTTCCTTCCTTTTCTCTTTCCTTCCTTCTCTCTTCCCTTCCCTTCCTTCCATCACTGGGCAGCCAGTCCTCCCAGCATGCGGCCCCCAAGTTAGAAAGTTTGCCCATGCCTGCTCTAAAGGCACTAAATCACATCTGATTTTGGAAGCAAGTCTGGGTCAGTCCTGTTTTCATATTTCAATGAGAGGCTGCCAAGGAGTATCAGATAGTCCAAGATAGTCCAAGCTATATTGCAGAGGAAGGAACTGGCAAAGCCACCTCTTAATATCCCTTGCCTGACAAAACCCAATGAAATTTATGGAATTGCCATATGTCAACAGGTGATCTGAAGTCACACACACAAATCTTGACTGCTTTGTTGTTTCTGATTTGTGGCAACTCTAACGTGAACCTATCACATGGGTTTTGTGGCAAAGAAAGAGGGATTTGCCTTTTCCTTTTCCTTTTATATCTGCTGGAAGGACTGAAAATAACTCACAAACAGGAAATGAAGTTGTTGTGACATTTGAGGTTCAAATGGTTGCATAGCTGATTGAAAAAAAATGGAGATGGTAGGACCGATTGAATTGCTTGTATAGCCTAGGCAGATTTATTCTGCAGTGTCTCAGTTTGCAATATAGTCTCTGGTTCTGAACTGTACACATGGACTTAATGTAGTGCTTCACCATACAATGGCAGAGGGGCAATCTTTCACCAAAGTATGTATGACTGATTGTGCAATAGGACTTCCTGAAAGTGGGAATTCTTTATAGTACACCGGAGTGGTTCCCTTCTATAAACACCATGAGTTTGAAATTCTGATGAGATAAACAGCTTTTCAGAAATTAGGTGTTTTCCACCAAATCCAGAAATAAACTGTCTATTTTGCTTTCTGTTCTCATCTATTTGTGCAATTTAACCTAATACTGTCATGGGAAATAATTGACTTCATATCTGTCTGAGAGAAGTGTGGGAAGGGGAGCGGGTGCATACAACACAATGATTGAGTTGTGCTGATTGCTGCGAGACATGCTAATAGGATGTTTCCTTGACAGAATTATATCAAGTGCTATGAAAAATAAAGGAAGCTACATTAGATCGTAACAAGACTTCCAAAACTGCAATGAGAGATTGGGGTATACTGTATGTATTCCAATACAAATACAATGAAATAATAGCAGACTTTGGAGTTTGTCAGGCCATTCCATCAGGGTTGAAGCAAAGAAATCTTCTGCATGGAGAGAGAGTGATTTCTCAATTTGCTTAACATCCCAAGTGATGAAAAGTTATTGAAAGTCAAGTACTATAAATATACAGTCTCACTTTTTTATAAGTTCAGTTGGCCCTCTGTATCCACAGACTCTATATCCCCATAGTTTCAGACATCCATGGCTTGATTTAATCTCACCCTCCCCAAAAAACTGAAAAATTAAAGTGTTGTTGAAGGCTTTCATGGCCAAAATCACTAGGTTGCTGTGAGGCTTCTAGGCTGTATGGCCATGTTCCCTAAGCATTCTCTTCTGATGTTTCACCCACATCTATGGCAGGCATCCTCAGATGTGAGGATGCCTGCCATAGATGTAG